TACCGAATAGTTCTGAGTAGCGTTTCTTATAGTACTCGACGAGTTCTATCGAAAACTGTAAGGTGAAAAAGCGATTGGACCAACGGTTTGCAAGATACAGCGATATTTGTCGGAAGATCAACAATTTTTAAAGTGAGTATATCTCGGAAACCGTTGGTCCAATCGCTTTGAGCCCTGATACTTTTCGAGAGAACTCACCGAGAACTGTCCAGAACTCTGATCAGAACTACTCGGTACACCCAAAAAATTTTAACTTCAAATTTTTTTCCAAGTCCCACGTCGGAAAATTTTTTGAGAGTACCGAGTAGTTCTGATCGGAGTTCTGGATAGTTCTCGACGAGTTCTGTCGAAAAGTATGAGGGCTCAAAGCGATTGGACCAACGGTTTCTGAGATATACTTATTTAAAAATTGCATGATCTTACAAATTTAACAAATGTCGCTGTATCTTACAAACCGTTGGTCCAATCGCTTTTTCACCTGACAGTTTTCGATAGAACTCGTCGAGAACTATAAGAAACGCTGCTCAGAACTACTCGGTACTCTCAAAAAATTTTCCGACGTAGGACTTGGAAAAAAATTTGAAGTCAAAATTTTTTGGGAGTACTGAGTAGTTCTGATCGGAGTTCTGGACAGTTCTCGGCGAGTTCTGTCGAAAAGTATGAGGGCTCAAAGCGATTGGACCAACGGTTTCCAAGATATACTCACTTTAAGAATTATTTATCTTCTGACAAATGTCGCTGTATCTTGCAAACCGTTGGTCTAATCGCTTTTTCACCTTACAGTTTTCGATAGATCTCGTCGAGAACTATAAGAAACGCTACTCAGAACTATTCGGTACTCTCAAAAAAATTTTCAAAGATTTCCACTATTTTTTTTAAACTTTATTATATTTCAAAAATGTTTTTTATGTATCAAGAACTCTAGGTATTCACAAAATAGTTCTGTCAAGCTGATCAGAACTATGCGACCTTAAATTTCGTTAAAAAGTTAGCACCCCATTTTTAAACAATTATTAGAAAATGATTATTAAGCGCATGTGTCATTAAAAATCATAGAGAACTCTTCGTATCGTCAAAAAGAAGCAGGAATTATCATCAGAACTATTGTATCTAAAAAATAATTTTTCAAAAATTTTTAATTTTTTTTTTATTATTCGAAAATTTTTTTTACATATCAGGAACTCTAGGCAATCGCAAATTGAAGCTATTAAGCCGCTCAGAACTATTCCACCTCGAAATTCGATAAAAAGTTAGCACCCCATTTTTAAAAAATGTAAAAAGAATGTTTATTGAGCGGAACTCTTGTTGTTAACTATAGGGAACTCTTCGTCTCGTCAAAAGGAAGTGGAAACTCTAATCAGAACTCCTGAGTACTATAGTCGGGGTGCTAACTTAACATACCCTCGCATCGCAGGTTGTACATCACTGAATTAAATCAATAATCAATACTTTGACCATAAAGATATTTCAAATTCGATGGATTATTATATGTTTGCAAATTCCTTCTCGGATAGTATGGAGTGGTTTTTAAATTTTATTTGAAAGGAATTTTTCATTTGAGGATTGAATTGCTAAGTTTAATACCGAAAATTGGAAAAATTGGAAAAATCATTGCTTTTAAAGCTTTAAATGATCGCCAAAAAACAAATACGCTAAAAATACGGTGGCAAAACGTTAAAGATACCGCTCAATTATTCGAAGTAAAAAGTTCTCCTGAGGGATTTTTTGTCGAGGAAAAAACATTGAAACGTCAATAACTTGCGAATCACTCGTAAAAGTCATAAACCACTTGAATTTAACTTACGTCTCGAGTCTTGAAAACTCGCTCGTGTCGCAAAGTCGGTAAATACCGGAGAACTTTTCTTTCTTTTTCTTTTTTAGTAGATTATACATTTTTTAAATCCAGTTTCCGTGCATACCGACGCGTTAGATTTACTGTCGAAAGATAATGAGGATATAACTTTTATTCTCATATGTATTATACGTGTACATATATTCTCAGTTTTTTTATTTCATTTATTCTGTTTTTCTTTCTACATTTTATTCGCTGTAATTTCACATTCCAACTTAATTTGAATTTATCTTTAAATGAGAGAATAAATTTTTTCCCTCTCCCTCTTTCTTTCTTTGTTTTTTCTTCATCTTCTCCGGCCGTCATCGATAAGAAACGGTGCAGTTTTCGACGCGGGACGTGACGATTAAGTTGCAGCGATTGTTTAAGTTATCCGGCACGAGCGACGCAATAACTTGGGCACAACGCGAGATCTCGGTGCCTTAACATGAAGCCGATTAAATTACGGCCGTAGTCGACCCGCCGCGGCCGCCGTACGTTACGTTACGTACCTATGACTATCGATTACGCAGGGGAACACACTCACTCGAGTCCCTCCCGGGTCGACGCACGAGAACGCGGATCTCCGCCTCGACAGAGGCGAGAATTTACGAGCGCTTTTAGAATACTTACACTGTCGACAGTGTAAATATCTGCGACTTTCTTGTTAGGTCGAAGACAAAGAGGCTGATGATGTTTCGCTAAGTTTACGTAGACACTTCAGGTTGCATACATATATCAAGCACGTGTGTCTTTAATTTAAATGCCATAATTATAATATATGAGAATTTTAATGTTTGTGATCGCAGTTATTATCTTCCAGACCGCCTCGCATGTTGAAATGATTGAATAGATAATTTTGGTTGATTTTATGTCTGAAAAATCGTGCAAAAAGTTTGCGGAGAGTATTTTTTGGCAAATTTCTTGTTTTAAAAAAATTGGAATAATTTGCGACGTATTAAAAGAGAGTAAATAATTGTACAATTTTGATGAAAATTTTGGAAATAAATTTGTTTGATAAAATTATTTCACGGGAAATTCTGGTCTTAAAAAATCAAAATAAGTTATCGAAAAGAGAGGAAATAATTTTGCAATTTTGCTGAAGATTTTGGGAATAAATTTGTTTACGAAATTTCAACTACATGACAGATGATAGTTAAAATAACTTGAGGATTTCCACAAAGATATATCTATCCAACTGATTAACGTAGACATTTTGGGAGAAGGAGAGATGGAGGAAAGAAGAAGACAGGGGGATGCACCGTAACGTTGCAGCGAGTTTCGAGAGTCGGGGTGGCGGTCATATCGAATGCAGCAAGCGCGATATATGCTTCCGGTGGGCATACGATGGGCGGAGTTGTGTGTCCCGTCCGTCGGCGGCTGTCCCTTTGGTAGTTCTGCCGGGTATCTACCTATCTACCTGAGCCCCGAGGGAGCCTGCGGCCGATGGACGCGTGCTGCGTATTGTGCGTGAACGCGCGCGTGTATATGCGCGATTCCGTCGTGATTTCACCTAGGTATTGGTGGTGCGTCGCGTTGTTTATAGCCGCTTCTCCTCTTTCCCGCCGACGTGGGCTGCTGCATACAAATCGCCCTCTCGCTCGGAAGAGGAGGAACTCTCTGTCTCTCTCTCCTCTCTCACCTACGGAGAGAAAGAGAGGGAGGGAGAGAATGAGGAGGAGGAGGACGCTCGTTTACGCGCGCGAACGTCCTGTGCGTGCGCTATGTGGAAGAGTATTACGCGGTCGCGACGAGACGTATGTCAGTACCGAGCACCAGCGGATTTTTTACGACCCTGGGACTCCGGGGATAAAAACTGCTAGAAGGCTGAAGAACCGTTCGACGAACGTCGATAGAAAAGACGACGCCGTTCTGTCGCGAGAACGGTGAGGCCGGTTTTTTTTTTTTTTTTTTTTTACGTTCACGGTACACTTAACACGATGTCAGGCTCATTGATTGGTACTTGAACTCGAAAAGAGATAATCACCAATGTTATATAAGTATGCATTTTTTCCCTACAACTTTTACTTAAATTAAATCATCAATAAATATTGAAATTTAATGAGAAACGTTTCTAGTCGTTTGTCAGTATAAATACTGGAATCTTGACAGTATCGAATAATTGAATGTCATGAATAAATTGATAATATCGAAAATGTTCGTGACAGGAATCAATACCTCGATCACAGTTGTTGTTCAACGTTAAAATATAGTGCGTGTGTGTATAGAATACCTAGAAATGGAAATTTAACCAGAATGAGATTGCATACTAAAAATGTGGCATGTGTCGAGTAACATACAGCGATCTCAAGCGAATCTTTTATTGATCCAAATTGATTGGTTTTTTTTAAATACGTAAATGTTTGCACTAGTTATTATTACATGGAAAAAGTTTCATTTATTTGAAATTCGGATTGTTATGTTTTTGTAAATATTTATTTATATTATATATATATCAATTTTGTCTGAACGTATAATGTGCGGTCCACGCCTTTTTAATGCATATCGAGATTTGTCAAAAAAAAAAAAATTGCACTCCTACAATCTTTGTACGAGACAGATGTATCCTACACGCACTATATAAAGGTACGAGTATTTAAATATCTTTTGAATTGCTTCTTTTTTCGTAAGTGCGATTATTTAATCGTAAACATCTGTTACTTGAAAATTTTGATATCATCAATAATCGATGACGGAAACTGTATACGGACTCTCTTTGCGGAAGGTGTCGAGATAACCGTGGCAAGGTAACGTGGGCCGACAGACATACACCACATGGAAAGTAATGGTAACGAAGGTCACCGGGGGTCTTCCATAGATCTTGTTTGGAAGTCGTTAAAGTACCTCTTCCCGGAATTTCTCCGTATATCGGGGTAAAGATCGCATCGCCGCGCGAGAAGGACGCTCTTTCTCTCTCGCGCCTCTTCCTCTCTCTTTCTTTCTCTTTCCTCTTGGGATCCGCCGTCCGCTTTGCAATTCCGATCTTGCACCTCGATAGTTACCTCCGCTGGCGAGGTACTCCGTCCTCATTTTTGGTACCACACCATAGCGCGCCGCAGTCTTCGAGTCTCTTCGGAGGTCAACTTCGGAAGAAGCTATCGAGAGGCGATTTCAATATTCGATAGGACACGACTTGCTTAGGAATTTGCAGAGTGTTCTTCAAGGTTTGGATCACGCTTTAAAAGTAATCGTCTCTTCCTTGACGAATGTACTATCGAATTCTTTCTTTCGAAAACTTCAATCGATAGTTTTAGAAACGTGTTCAGCTTTCTTAACATGTGACACCTGAATTTCCACATCAAACAAAAAATTGTAACAACCCGATAAATTCAACTTACGTTGTAGCGTTTGTAATAAATCCATAAACGTATATAATAATCTTAATCCCTTAATATATACCATGATTTTCTGACCCTTTATTACGTACCTATAATGGATCAATCCTGAGTTAATTTTTATTATTTTCAAGTATATAAAGAATAGTAATTTGTATACAATATATACTTTAATATCTTTAAAAATATTTACAAAATTGTTAAAAAAGGAAAAAGAATATGAAGGTCATTAATATTAATCAAATATTCCTAGTATTTCGAAGAAAAGAAATATACAGGACACAAATGATTCAATAGTGTGTACTAATAAGAGTTATCATATTTGGATAAAATATATATTTATATCCGAATGTATCCTTTGAATTGCAGGCACTGGAAATACTTCAAATGACAACACCTATAAACCGTCCTTCCTCACGGATCAGGAGTTGAAGCACTTGATTCTCGAAGCGGCAGATGGCTTCCTGTTTGTTGTGAGCTGTGACACGGGCAGAATCATCTATGTGTCCGATTCGGTAGCGCCGGTATTGAACTACACACAGAGCGATTGGTTCGGCACCAGCCTATATTCGCAAGTTCATCCTGACGATACCGAGAAAGTTCGGGAGCAGCTCAGTGCGGCAGAGCCACAGCATGGTGGTCGAGTATTAGACCTCAAGACCGGAACGGTTAAAAAGGAAGGTCAATGTAAGTAAAGAAAGACAAACGAATCACTCGCGATTGTTTAACGGTTTTGCAGAGTTTCTATTTTATCGAGCTAATTTGCTATTAAGTTATTTTATTGTATCTTATCACTTTATTATTACTTTATTATAAGATTATCTTATTAGATAATTTTATTCAGATATTTTAAAGGTTATTAATTATGATGATCAATCAGGATATCTCCTATTTGGGGGGAAATATATTTAGCCAGAAAAAATAATAAATCTTCCGATTGCAGCCTCGATGCGACTGTGTATGGGCTCAAGAAGAGGCTTCATCTGTCGCATGAAAGTCGGAAATCTGCAGACCTCGGGTGACATGGCAGCGGCACACGGGCTACATCGTATGAAGCAAAGGAACTCTCTGGGACCTCCAGCGCGAGATGGCCAGAACTACGCGGTAGTGCATTGTACCGGATACATCAAGAATTGGCCACCCACCGGTGAGTTTAACATGGGTTTCATCTGTGCTGAGTCGAGAGAATTGCATAAAATCGTACGTCGATGTGCCACCATCGAGTAACGGTCTCTTTCTTTCTTTCTCTCTTTTTCTCTTTCTGAGCGCAATGTACAGCAGACCCCAGCTTTCTATTTTAAAGCGGGGGAGACGTCGCGTCTGAGGAATACGAACGAACCGTTCCTGGAACACGACGGAACGCGTATACCACGTGTGTACTGTAAATTAAGAACCGTCGTGACTGAATTTTTCGACTCAGTATCTTTTGTTAAATATTCCACATTTAATTTAACGTGTCGTATTTGCTTTCGATCAGCTATGGAAAGTTAGTAACATAAAAACTAGAAAAATACGACGAATTTGTATATTCAAATGATAAATCTATCCGATTTAAGAAAAGAAAGAACATTATCAAATGTGTTTCTCATTGATTATATACGTTCGCTGGTCTGAAATATTTTCTCTGTAGAACACTCGTTTCACCACTGAATGGAAAGTCACTATTAAAAGTCACAGCGAGGTAGTTAACGGTTGTTAACATATTTGTTTAATATTCATGATCACGTGCGTAGCTTTTTTTGTTCCGATAGCTTTGTGGCAGCCGCTGATTAATTCAACCTTATCGATTACGTTAAAAAAGAAAGATACAGCGGTGTCTTTGACACACATTAAGTGCGATAGAGGTGTAATAAATTGACCGCTTCACAATTTTTGAATTTCAAGATGTATGATATCAATAATGTTTTTACATTTTAGTTTCATTACAATTATAAATTATTATCGACTATTATTGTGATCACGTCAATTGTATTAGTATGAAATTTTTAACGTAGTTTTTTTTAGTATGTAAGACGAAATTTGTAGAGCCGATCAACGGGAAATCATGAACTGATTCATGATTTTACGCTGTAGGTGATTTTGTTCCCCCATGTGTACCAACTATGGGTCTAGGTGACAGAGGTCCCGGGGGCATTCAAACTGGTCCAGACGGTGTAGTTACGGATGAAAATGCCTCCACGCATTGCTGCCTTGTCGCCATTGGGCGATTACAGGTCACTAGCACACCAAATAGTAGCGACTTAGCAGGTTCTAATAGCAATAGTGGTAAGTATTGTTTCATTAACAATTTAATTGGAAATTTTGGCTCCTGTACATGGAAACGTTTGCCACGCGCTAAGGCGCGATGTGATGCTAATCGCTCTTATGAAAGAGCGATAAATTGATTGGCTATCGTGTCGTATCTTGTCTGTGTGCAGAAATCATTTGACAAATTAAAATTCACTTTAATAATAATAATAATGTAAAAGATAATTGTTTTCATCATAAATTATGTTTTTGTTCGTTGTAGAATTTATATCACGTCATTCTGCAGAAGGTAAATTTACTTTCGTGGATCAAAGAGTTGGCGGAATTTTGGGTTATACTCCATCAGAACTTTTAGGTCATCCTTGCTACGAATTTTTCCATCCGGAAGATCTGACACATATGCGAGAGAGCTTTGAACAAGGTAATACTCTGTATTATATTACGACTCACATGTCTAAATGTGTGTTTCTATGTATATTATTAACTTGTGGCTGGTTTTCTAGTGTTGAAGTTGAAAGGACAAGTCGTGTCTGTAATGTACAGATTTCGGGCTAAAAATCGTGATTGGGTGTGGTTGAGGACGTCGGCGTTTGCGTTTTTAAATCCATTCAACGAAGACATCGAATATATCGTCTGCACAAACACTCATGCAAAGTAAGAATGGAATTAGATTTAAAACCTTAAAGTGTCTTATATTTATATTTTTTATTTTTTTTTTCTTTGAAAAAAAAATATTCGCATGTTTTTATCCAGGTCATTTCATCCTAGTAGCGACGGTCAAACGGAAAGCGAAGCTGTACCTGCATATGGACAACCTGGTCTAGATTATTCTCTTCAAAGACATCCTACCAGGGATCCGTTGTACTCTGCACATCACATGATGCAGCATCCAGCTGCTGTAGCTACAGCCAGTAAGACAATTATCGCATTTTCTTTATTATTTTTTACATTTCACACGTCAAACATTGAACTCGTGTTATTTACAGGTCCGCAACAACCGAGGCCGTCCAGCACACAGAACGTATACCAGAGCTACGAGACTACGCAGTCGCCGATAGCTTATGGATCACCTGGACAACAAAGCGCGTCTTCGTCGGTCTTAAGTAGGATTCAGAAGCCGGCTAATACATCTCCAACTCCGCAACCATGGGCAATTGGAAGACAGGTATTTAATTCCTCGTTTTTCAATAAATTCGAAAAGAAACAAATATCTAAGACTACTACGTTTTCCAATAGCAACCTGTAACGGAAGGTTACCAATACAGTCAATTAAGTCCATCGAGATCACCGAGCGGGCCGACGTATACTCAGCTTAGTAGCGGTGCGAGAACACCAGCTACACAGCAATATCATGCAGTCACAACAGTGCCTAATAATCCTGGTTAGTCCAACATACCTTATTCTCCATAATCTTGTCCTCCAAATATACAAAATTGCAAAGAATCAAATGTGCATTTGTCGTCAGGTATGTGGGGTTGGCAAAGTCAACAACATCAAACGCAGCAACCAGACGGACAAACCGGCGCTCAGGTGTCCGCACAAGCGCAACCACCGCATCCTGGACAGGCGGGGCCTGGTACACAGCCGCAAGAGCTATCTGACATGTTGCAGATGTTGCAAGATCAAGGTGGCTCGTCCGGCTTCGAAGAACTGAATATGTTCAACACTAACTTCGAGTAGCAACGAGAAAGGCGATACGCCTCTGAGAAGCAGCTTCTACTTTAGAGGAATTCTCTCTCCTCGAAGCTTTCTCCGGCTGTTCGATATCACTTCGGGGATTTTGATCTTGGGCATCGCAATCCGCACTTTTACATCAGCATCCGGAGGATCAGCATCGTTCATGGAGAAAGAAGAAACGCGATTTAACAATTTAGCACCGCATATATAGACTCTGCAAAAACGATCGCACTGGGATTAGGACAGCCTAGTCTACTGGATTATTTACATATTATACATCGTATTATAATGAGATTTCTGATTCATTGTCATGGGTATCAGATGCTGTCGTCATACGTTTCGATTGTTTGAAATAATTATCCAAACAAACATGGTTTTCCTGGGAATCAAAAGGTTGGTAAAAAAAATATGTTTTAAACATGTTTTAAAACATGCTTAATCGATGTTTTGAATATGTTTTTAATATTTTTTTTTTCTAAAAAAAACAAGTTTTATTCTTAAAAAAAAAAACATTAATTTTTGTCAACTCTATTGGAAATACCATTAAAAGATCAAAAGCAACTATACCGTCATGACGATTATTGATTAGTGCTCGAAATGAATTATAATACGCACAGATGGGCTATCCACATTTGGCATAAGCTATTAAAAAAATAAAAAGTTTTACATTTATAAATTTTACATTTGAAACTAAAAGCGTAACCAATGAAGATACTAATAACTGAGGAACGCTTTCAATGGTTGCAGTGATTTAGATGATTGTACTCTAATAAATTTGAAATTAAATCGAACTTAATTCCGATTTTATCAAATCTACTCGTAACGGTGAAAGTTGTGTATAAAGTTGATTGATTAGTTGAGTGAATGGCCTATAAATAAATCCATGGCCTTGTTACAAGTATTCTAAATATATGTAAGCATCTGTGCTTATTATACAAATCAAGTAACGTAATTTTAATTTTCATGACAATTTTCACTGGAATATCATGCGATTCGATAAATATTTAACGAAGGAAAAGGAAAATGAAAATAACAAGTGTACTCTAAACAATAAGAAAAAATATTTTTAAAAAAACTTCTCAATCAAAAATATATACACAAATCACGGTAATTTTAATACCAGCTTATCATTAGATTTATAAGGTTAGCTTAATTATTTTAATTTAGATCTTTGTAATTATAAACAGTGCAATCATAAACCAACACGCGATAAGAAATCGTTCGAAACATTGACAATGTACAAAAATTGTGTAATCCACCTTTGCTTCTCTGTGCAAGACACGTTTTTAGATATTCTTAAAGAAAAAAATATAGATAATGTTACACATATGAATAATTGCATTTATAAGTAACCACGTGTGACTTAGCGCGTTTGTACATGTTTTAGCAAATTTTGACAAGCACATTGAAACGAAATTGCAGCATATCATGATGAATTGGGAACATTTTTCACTAATATACGAACTATACATATACGCATGATTTTTTTAATGATCCTACATCGTGACGAGAATAATATCATCACTTTTTGACAATAACTAATATATTGGACCTGATGCAGGTATCAATATTTATATGCGAATGTTAAGTATGAATTCGTCTCTATCAAAAAAAAAAAAAAAGATTACTTCGCAAATCCCTTATCCATTGTTATATATTCCTTCGCACAATATCCATTTACATATTATAGCTCCACAAAAAATCGCGATTAATATGATTTAAAGAGCAAAGGGTGTTAGAAATGCATACGTATATCATCAGTAAGTTCTTTAATAATTCTTGCTCGTTCTTTTGCAATTATATATATTCAATGATAAAAAAAAAAGGCAATAAGATAATAAACAAACAGCATGGAATCTTCAAAAAGGGGAATTATGAAAAATATAACACAATTTTTAATTTAAATCTTTAAATTTAAAATACAAAATTTACAATTTCAATTTTACAGCCGAAGTAACGTTAGTTTTTTTCTTCGACAAATTATCCTTTTTAATTTTACTCTTAACTTGATCTTGTAATTGCGTAAAAAATGCAGTCGAGGACTTTGCAACTTTATGCGTTGTTTCATTTAACTTTGTAACGTTTCTGTCTTTAGTTATTTTCTTAACTAGTGCAGCTTTTTCTTTCTTGTCTTTGTACTTCTTAGCAATTCCTGGTTGCAAGGATCTTAATTTATCCTTCTTTTCTATTGCCTCTTGTTTGGCCCGTTGCCTCGATTTCTTTCGTCTTCTCTCGCGCTTCATATCCGTTTTCGTTCGTTCTGATTTACCAATAAGATCACCACGTTCTTTAACTGGAAATAAAAGTTATAAATAAAATTAAAAATACAATTATAAATTAATGATATAGTCGTATTAAATATAATACGATAAATACTTTTAATTTCTTCAGGCGCTAAGAGTGTTGCATCAGTGGCAGTGACAGGTGCTACCTCTTCCATGTTAATTGCAGGTACATTGCTAATGATTTTAATCTCTGGTTTAGCCTAAAATCGTATATATTATATAACTTATCATACATATTGTATCTTAAAATATATTTGATGCAAAACGCGTTACCTCATCTTTCGATAAAGATTGGAAACCATTAAGAATATCTCAAAATATAAATATTTTGTAACAAAAGTATAAAATTATTTGCACAAATTGCAAGAATAGTTTCTATTTATAAAGAAACATTTATCTTAGAATAAGTATTTTTTAATTATAAATATTTATATATATATTATTAACTATATTACATCCATATAAGCTCTGACTGATTTTTAACTTAAATTATGACAAATCTTACCATCTTGGGGGTGTAATGATAATTAGCCAACGCATCCAATTTTGATATCAGAGAACGCATCATTTGTCGAATTTCATTATGCATTTGTGGCGTTTCTTCTTTTTTTTCATCGTTCTCTGGATCTAATGTTTGCTTTTGCTTCAGGTACTCTTTTTCGTAAATTTGCGACAAACTTTCTTTGCTCTTTTCTTGATTTAATATCAATTTTTTCTTATATTCTAAGGGTGTCTCGACTGGTTTGAATTTTTTCTCGACATCATCCCAAGCTTTATCCTTAATCCGCTGCTTTATTATATCTTCCAGTTTCAAAGTGGTCTCTTCAGTTATCACAGGTGCTGGTCTTCTGTTTACATCGACAACCAGAAACTCCTCGAGCAAGGAATTCTGTGGTCGATGTGGACCACTCACTTCCCCTTTCAATTGCCATGGTTTCTCGCTAATTGCTTCAGCTTCTAATTCTTTGATCCTCATTAACAGCCTTTCTTGACGAGTCTCCAAAGTAGATTTCACCTCTGTATCTTCTTCCATCTTTTCTTCTTTGTCTTTCTTGTTAAGATGCGTTTTATTTTCCAAGCTATCTGTCTCGTCTGAATCATTTGTAAGATTGAATCTTACTTTTTTAATTGTTTGATCTTCATCTTCTTCATCAAGATCCATTTCTTCGTCTTCTGATCCTTCCTCTTCAGAATCTTTATTATTGTCATTGTAATCTGAATTTTGGCTTTTGTTAGCTTGCTCATTTTCACTTTCAGGACTATCGAAAAAATCTGCATACCTCTCACCATTATTTCCATCTTCCTCTTCGGAAACGTCATTAAATAAATCAACTGATTCATCATCAGATTCAACATTGCCTTTTTCTCGTTCCTCTTTTCTTTCTTCTTTAGTTAAATATTCATTTAGCTCTTGTAACTTGAAAAATTTATCGTCTACAATAGAGGACGTTTTCTTATGTTTTTTCTTTGAATTACTTTTAATTTCTATATCCTCGTCCTCTGATTCTTTCTCATCAGACATGCCTTCAGCCTCTGGAGCTAAATTATCATTTTCAATCTGTATTGGTTCACATTCAGGTTTCCTGGAGCTCACTGGGATCATCAATTTTTTACCTCCAGAAAAAACTGAAATATAATTTAAAATGTGTGCTATCTCATTTTCGTTCCGTAGTTCCAATTGTTGCCAGATTTGCTCCTCATCAAAGCCTTCTACTACTAATTCTGAATACAACGCATTTGTATTCAGTGATGCGATTTTCAACAGGTTTACAGCACTCGACGGTAGCGCCATCTGTCGGCGGCCTGGCGCAACTGGTAGCACACACAAGCAAAGCTCTTCTTCTTCTTCCTTAAATAATGGCTCCCTCCCCCCCGCTTCCAAGCCACCAAGCCTCCAAGCAATGAAATAGGAGGTCGATAGGAGGCCAGATCACGTCTTTAAAGTAAACCGTACAAAAATATGAAAACAAACGAGTGATGCAATGCCCGTGAAAATGGCGTTGCTCGACCGGTTTCCGGGCGCCTACGTTACGGCATCATCACGTCGCGATAACGCGGGTCATAAGAGCCCTAGTCGAAAAGTGCAAAATGACGAACAATCGAGACGAGCTCGTCCGCAGACGCGCATCTGTGTGACGCAATGCACAGTCAAAGTCGGCGACACTTTCAAAAATATACAATGGAAAGCACCCGAACCGAAACACGTCCGTCACCGTCGCGGTCGGATGGTTCGTCGGAACTCACAAGCAGAGCACGTGTACTGTCCGACGTCCGTAGGATGCGCAGTCGTTCATTTCACGTGATGTCACCAGATGTCACGAGCCAATCCACTACGGTCTATGGCCCGTATTCGGAACGCGCTAACAACTAGAGATCCTATAATAAGAGTTTGGCCAAAGCGGGCCCAACTTCTGATTGGTTCTCTACCTTGGTCCATTCGGCATTCTTCGGATAGCTTTGTACATTGTCGGAAAACGAGTTCGGAGAATAGAAAGAGACAGATAGCGTAATACGAGAAAGAAAGCATATCTGTTATCTCCTTCTATCCGCCATCTTTGGTCCGCTTTGGCCAAACTTGGTAGTACAAAACTAACGTAGAAAGTCGGCTACAAGCGCGAGTTTTGATTGGCTGCTGCTCTTCCGCTTACCGTTTTTCGGTCAAGATGTGAACCCGCCCTAAGGATTACAACAAATTGCAGAGACCCGATATATAACGTCTAATATCCAATAAAAGTATTTGTTTTCTAGGGATAAAAAACATTCCTAGCTAGATTCTTTAAAAATACTTTCCTATATCGATATATGAATATATTTGTATAATTACGCGCACAATTCATTACGTTTGACTTTCATTAGCCCACTCTTTACATTTTTTGTTTATTAAAACTTAAAAGTCCAAATAATTTTTCATCTTTTCTTTTGATTATCAAATATTCTGATAGCCTAGTGCGAAATCAAATTACAGTTTCTATAAAACTATCCAAAAGTACTGTGTGAATCTAGGAAAATTATAAAATTCGAATCTATCTTCATTCTTAATACTTTATGATTCAATAGCGTTTTTATTAATTTTAACACCTGTCCTTAATTAAAAATATTTGAATTTTTCTTCTAATATCACATGTTACACATATTTTTAATTGAGGTATATTTATTTTTTAATAAAATCTTTCATCTCTAAATTAATATTCTATTAGCTAAATGCAGATTTAAACACTCAAAGTAAGCCCATTTTTATGAGATAATAAAGATTCAAAATTGTGTTTGCATATAATTGTAAGTTTGATTTATCCAAGATACAAATTATATTTTATATAAACATATTTAATTACGATAGAAAGTGATTTTAACCCTAAAATTACCTGTTGCTTTCTTCCAAACGAAAATCCGGCTGTCATACAAAAAAAAAAGAAAATAAAAAAATGTAAGAAAACTGACCCAAAATACGCGATAAACAAAAGCCCAAGGACCCTCTCTAGCATATCACAAGCAGATACGACGAAACGTGTTTGCCACGTGGAGTGGGGAAACTCGTTCGCCAGGCGGAGAGGGAGAGGGGAACTCGTCCGTCGGGCGGCGGGGTGGGGGAACCCGTTTCTCGACGGGGGTGGGGAACGCATCTGGCGTCTAGGTGGGGGAAAGAACGTCGAGGGCGAGTAAAGTAAAGAGAAGGGCTGCGCCGTGGAAGCGGCCCGAAGCGTACGTGGAGTCGATGGAGCAAGTCTGTAGCCGCTGTGGCATTGGCGCAGATCTCGGGTTTGGTTCACGCCGGGTTCACGCGGCAAGGAGAGAGAACGCGAATTCTTCAACGGACGTAGAGCGAAACGCGTACGCACGCGCCGCTGACGTGCGTTCGCTCGGTTAAGAGAGTACACATTTCGAATACCCCTGGAAGAAAAGCAGGAAAATCTCCGCAGTAAACTGTGCGCGAGTGTACGGAGATACCCGAGAGAGAGAGAGAGAGAGAGAAATTTTCAAAAGTGCGGTTTGGTTGTTTTTTTTTTTCTGGTGGATTTTTCTGGTGATTCACGGTGCTATAAGGTGGCTCGTTCCCCGGGTACCGACCGAAGAGCCGCCGCTCAGATTTTCGGATAACTCGCACTTGCGCTCACAAGGGAGGAAGGTGCGTATTACACCGCATGTATTAGCGTATGTAGCCGACGATGACTACGATTGCGTGCGGTTATTTATCGGCTCGCGTGTTCGTATCATCCCGTCGATCGATCGTTCTCCAGATCAAGCGAACTCGCTCGTCCGCGGCGGCGGCGGCGGCGGCCGTATACGCCCGTGGAATCCCAAAATTGCGAAATCGGCGAGAACGAGCAACCGGAACGAGTTTCGCTCGCGAGAGCCGGTAGCCGTGTACGAGAGCACCACACAAGCCGCTTTCCTTCTACCCGCCGAGAGGAAAAATCGTGACGGATCCGCGCGCGATCGTATCTAATCGAAATCCAATTAGGAACCGGTTTCGACCAAATGCCACGTGATTTTTATTTATTACTCCAAAACACGCGGCTTGCGGGAAGACGAGTATAAACGGAAAGGGGCCGGTATTCATATTCGGAGCTTAACACTTAAGACCGTCTTAAGTACAGTCTTAAAAAATGATAATGCACAGCTCTCTCGTTGGCTTATGACATCTTGAGGTTATACTTAAGACGGGGTCTCGAATATAAAAAAAATCGACTATGAAATACCGCCCTGAAATTAAGAATTGCTCGATAAATTTCTAAGACGTGAGATTAGGAGAATTTAGGTCACGACATTCTGACAGCAGGTTATCTCCGATTAGGCATTAATTGATTATGACGTGTTGTTTATTGCATAGAGCTTAAACTTTGTTCTTGATCTATATTGATTTAATATTGTCACGATAGAGTGACCAATCAAAAGTTTTATAATTTTGATCTATATACTTGTAAAACTTTAATGAACATGTTCAAGACATTAATCTATAAACTGCATTGATAATTGATATATTATCTAGTATTTTTTATATTATTTAATGATTTTTCAGAAGAACATTTTTTAGAAAAGTAGAAGTTGTTGAATGTTTTTTTTTTCAAGAATAAGTTATTATAATAATATCTCTTTTGCTTACAAGCTTGTTATAATTATAGTCTTTTTATTAAAATGCAAAAGTAACAAAATAATTAACAAGTAAATGTACAGAAATTAATTTATGCGTTAATGTAAGAAACGTAAACATATTAAACATTAACGTGCGTATTATGGTCAATTAAAATATCATTTATATCCGCAAATATAAAATGCATATTAAATTACAATACATTTAACTTTTTTAAGTTACTACAAATTTATGTTTCATTAACATATTTAATTGTTATTTTAATTTCAGTTAATTAAACTGTCATTCGTGTCCATAAATATGAAAAATATATTCAATTTTAATATACTTAATTTTTCAGTCACAGAGAATTTAAATTTCCTTCACTCTGTAGTGTACATTAAAAGTTGATGAAATTTAAGAATATCATGTAACAATTTAGGAAAAAGTGTACCTCAAAAGGTAAAGCGTAACGCTATCTTGAACCCTACATGTCATTATTAATACGAATCTGATACAACACAGAATGTAATTGTTACTCGAATCGAGAAACAATCGTTATTTAAACAGATTTCAGTGGTATAATTGGCTGAAGCGTGAAAAATGATTGTCCATGGCTATTTTCCATGACAAATGCGGCGGTGATTTTAACGGAATGATCATCAGAACAATTCATCGTGATTTGAACAGCCACGTAACACAATGTTTAACAATTTTCTGTGCCTAATTGATTGATTTAGTAGACATTTCGCTTATTTCACGAATCGATTCGAATCAACGTGGCAACATAGAACATTACATATTAATATTCCACCAAATATTATAAAATTTTTTCAGTTCAAACATTTTTCTAAAATGCACGTACTTGGAGTTACATTCTTTTTCTTGACTATAATAGAATTTTCTTGAAACGCATTCGGATCACCTCTGACATAACTTTTCTTACTATATGAAATTTCATTCGATTTCTAAAGAATGTATGCAAGAACACGAATTTCGTTTTTCCTAGTCACGCATAAATTTTCTTTCTGTTTTCAACGTGTTCTGTCATTGAGAACGATAATCTGTTGATACATAAATTATGACGGTACTGTGAAAATATTTTAATAAGCTCTGAGTTGTTGCATCAGTTTAAGAAAAAATTTTTACTTAAAATTCTACGTCGTTCACACTTTGGAATGACTCAGTTTTCATAATTATTCATAATTATGCATAAAAATACTTTTTCTTTCGCATATCGAAAACAGTTCTAGACAATTTTTACAGGTGCAGCAGCGAATATTATTCTGCGGCTTAAAAAGAAAAATAAAAAAAATTTGTTTTGATCTTTTATTCAGGTATACGTTTGACATTCCGTTTTCAGTCTATACATCATACTAGATGGACATATTAAATTACTCATAGTTATTGATATCGTTTCTTTAGTCAATCATCGAAGAAATCAACCGTAGGTAAATAAAGTATAAAATTTCCGGTAAACATTTCTGAAAAGGAAATTGTCTCCTTAGACAGACGTCTCTTGACAGGACGGCGTGACGAACCGGACGGCGTGGAATCTAGAAAAAAATATACCGGTTCGGAGTTTTCCTTTTCCTCGCCTCGAACAAGTTCTCTCGGCGATTATAACGGGTGCGGATCTCGGCTTAGGTGTACGTGAAATTAGAGCGGTACTTCGATCCTTCTACGAACGGTATTCGCGTCGGTATCAACCTCCGGTGTGCGTTCCACAAGGAACAATGAGTGATGCAATTGCGAATTGCAGATACTCTACAGGAGAGACAGAGAAGGACGTCATCTCGTAACGAAACAGCGCACCTGCGCAACTACAAGTGATTCACAGATTTATAGAGAAAGGGGAGGAGCGAGAGAAAAGGATGAGACAGTTAACGAACTATTGTGTCCTCTTGACTCTCTTTCGAATGAAGGTTTCAAGCGTGATACTTGCAAGAATTTTTTTTGCAAAAAAAGCCCCGTCGTGTATACAAGTTTAATTACGAAAGAATGTTAGAAACGATTTGTCTTCTTGTTTGTGTACGATGAGATGAAATTAGTTAGTGAAATGTATGAAAGCAATCTGTCACGAGATGTAATAGAGTATGACTGAATGGTAAATAAATTTAGAAGACGTATTGAAGGATTTGATAGCTGAAT